AATGCTACAAACCCTAAAGCAACTACACACACACACTGAAAGAGGTATAGCTCATAAGTCAACAAAGGAGAAAAAAAAAGCATAAAAAAATACCTCCAACAACAGGCATAAGAAAGGACGCCTGGGTGGCTCAGTCAATTAAGCGTCTGACTTCAGCTCAGGTCATGCTCTCAAGTTCATGAGTTCAAGCCCCATGTCTGGCTCTGTGCTGACAGCTCAGAGCCTGAAGCCCACTTAGGGTTCTGTCTCCCTCACTCTGCTCCTCCCCAACTCACGCTTGCTAGTGTGTGCACTCTCTCTCTGTCTCTCTCTCTCAAAATAAACATAAAATATTTAAATAAATAAATAACCTTAAAGTGGCGCCTGGGTGGCCCCTTCAGTTAAGCATCCAAATTCAGCTCAGGTCATGATGTTGTGGTTCACGAGTTCAAGCCCTAGTGGGCTCTGTGCTGACAGCTGGAGCCTGCTTCGGATTCTGTCTTTCTCTCTCTCTCTCTCTCTGCTGCTTCTCCTCCTGTGCTCTTCCTTTCTCCCTCTTTCACAAAAATAAAGCATTTAAATAAATAAAATGAAATGAAATCTTAAAGAAAAAAACTCTTTATGTATATATGTACGTATGTCTCCTGCTGGTTTTCCTCTGGAAGAATGTGACTCATTCAACAGGCAGGTTTACTTATGCAACCGAACAAGTCAAGGTTGGGTATTAATTCCCTCAAGGTTTGCTCCATACCCACTCCCTCTACAAACTAACCTGTACCTTCACTCATCTTCATTCTCTTCTTTCTTAAGGTTTCCTGCCCCAACAGCTACGTAAAACATCCCCCCAATCTCCTGCGAGACCTTGTTCCATCAGTTCCCTCCTCTTTCCTGAATCCTCAGCCTCTTCCTCCCTCTGACTCCTTCTTCGTCATATAAACATGCTCATGTCTCCCCTGTCTAGGAAAAAAACCCAATCTCTCTTTCCTTACATCCCCCATAACTGTGACTAGCCTATTTTCTGGCTTTCTGGAGCCAGACATCTTGGAATATTCAAGTCTTGCTGCCTGTATTTCCTCATTTCTCATTCATTCCTTAGCCAACTGCAGCCTGGTTTCAGCTTCCCCCAATCCCCCGAAGCTCTTTCGGGATTATTCGTGACCTTCTGATTGCCAAAGGCAAAGAATCTCAAGTCCGTCTTTTTCTTGCTTAGATGGCAGTAACAGCTCCATGAAATTTCTCTCTTGCCCCTGAGTGCGTTCCCTCCCCGGCCCCTCCCATCTCTTTTCTCTAACCAATTCCTCTTTGGTATTCTCCAATCCTCTGACGCCAGCCTTCTTCTCATTTTATATGCCCACAGTTTTCCCACGTGACTTCTTCCACATCCATCACTGGAAGTCCACTGTCTCTGTGCTTGTGACTCCTGAATCTAAGGCTTACCTGAAAGCTGTATCCAAGCCTTTATTGCTAAATAGTCCTCTGTGTAATGTTGGGTCTCCATCAGGATGTGCCACAGATATGTCAAAATGCAACAGGTCCTTGGGGCAGCTGTCTGGCTCAGTCAGTTAAGCGTCTGACTCTTGATTTCGGCTCGGGTCATGATCTCAGGTTTGTGAGATCGAGCCTTGCATAAAGCTCTGCACTAGTGGCACGGACCCTGCTTGGGATTCTCTCTCTCTCGCTTCCCTGCTACTGCACTCTCTTGCTCTCTTTCTCTCTCTTCCTCCCTCTCAAAATAAATATTATTTAAAAATGCAACAAACTAAGGGTTGATGGGGGGTGGGAGGGAGGAGAGGGTGGGTGATGGGTATTGAGGAGGGCACCTTTTGGGATGAGCACTGGGTGTTGTATGGAAACCAATTTGACAATAAATTTCATATATAAATAAAAAAAAAGAAAGAAAAAAAAATGCAACAGGTCCAAAAGCTAATTTCTTCTCCTGTAGTCCTCATCTTAGAGAGGATCTCTCTCTTCCCAGTTGCCCATACTAGACATGATAGTTCTTCTAGACTCTCCTCTTTGACTCACCTTCATGGGTTCTTTTATCAAGTTCTTCTAAGTCTCCCCTCCCCCTCGAATCTCTCAAATTCCTCCCTCTCTTTTTTCCCTCACATCACTGCCTTTGTTCAAACATCCATCATTTCTGATCTAGACCTAGTCTCTTAACTATTATCTCATCCTGCTTCACCTTCAATCCATTTTCCCCGTTTATACAAGGAAAGATGATTTTCGTATAAATCTTACCAATCCCCTGGGCGAAATCTTGGTTCAGTGGCTTCTTGTAGCCCATAAAATAAAGTTTCAACAGTTTAGTATGACATGCATGGTCCCTGCCATTCCATGAGGCTTCATCTTTACCCAGTAGAACTTTGCATTTTAACTGTGCAATTGTCATTTTAATGTGTTCGTATTTCTGCATAGGCTGTGGCCTGAGCCCAGTACTGTGCCCCATCACACACGCACATGCGTACGCTTACACACACACACACACACACACACACACACACACACACACACATACACATGCCCCTTCCTTCACCAAGTCTTCCCTTTGACTAGAGGAAAAGAAACAATTCTTCAGTGGTCTTTGTATTCCCAAGCACCTAGCAGAGAGCATTTGATAAACGTATGATTAGCTCAATTTAGCAATTTTAGAACGTTATAAGGAAAGGAAAATTTTCTTTACATAAAATCTTTATGTAAAAAAAAGCCTAATATGTCAACTACACAAAAGCCGGGAATCCCATGACTTCGTCCTCTTCTGCGGCAGCTGCCTGTCAGGTGCCAGCGACTTCACTGGCCCAGGGTGAGACCTGCTGGTGCAAAGCTGATCCTGAAGTTGACCAGGTATCTGATGTGTCAGATTCAGCTGCACAAGGGTACAAAGTCCTGAACGTGCTACCACGTGGATGATCCTTGAAAATACACTAAATGGGATAAGCCAGACACAAAAGACCACACTACTGGATGATTCCATCTACATGAAATGCCCGGAACAGGGAAATCCATAGAGACAGAAAGTAGATGGGTTGTTACGAGGGGCTGGGGGAGAGGAATGGGGAGCGACTGCTTAATGGGGATGGGATTTCTTTCTGAGCTGATGACGAAATTCTGGCATTAGCGGTGATGGTTGCACAATCTGTGGATACTAAAAACGACGCAAATGGCACACTTTAAAAGGTCAAATATTGGGGCACCCGGATGGCTCAGTCAGTTAAGTGGCTGACTCTGGATTTCAGCTCAGGTTATGATCTCACAGTTTGTGAGATCGAGCCCTGCTTTGGGCTCCGCACTGACTGTGGAGGCTGCTTGGGATTCTCTCTCTCTCTCTCTCTCTCTCTCTCTCCCTCCCTCCCTCTCTCTATCCCTCTGCCGCTCATGCTCTCTCTCAAATAAACTTAAATAACTAAATAAATGGGTGAATTTTATGTACTTTATATCTCAAAACAAATTACTCTGACATGATACTCCATCCCATGGAATTCTTTGAGAGAAATAAAGGAATTGTTCTAAAAACTCTCTAGGCATGAGTTTGTTTCTGTAATGTTAATATTTCTTCCTCAAATTACATGTAAACAATTGTTATCTTTGTCTCATTGGGAAGAGATGTGACTCTGGCATTCCCCATGATGTGAATAAATCTTTGGGGAGCAATGAGTGACTTCCCTCACCCCCAACCACCACCACCAAAAGGCAAAAACAAAACACTGTGGTAATTTTAGGACTGGGCACTAGAGTCCCAAGAATTATTTCCAAAGCAACTTTATATCCTTGCTGAATCTATCCAGCCACTCTGTTGCTTCCCCTGAATGGTAACCAACCCTGACGTTCATGGGAACCCACCATGGACATCTATCCCTCTTGGAATGTCCATTTTTGAGGATGGTATTGGCAGAGTAGAAGCTGTTTAGGAGGTGGCAGCTTCCTAGGGAAAGAAGCCCAATTCTGAGCGAGCTGAGCTAAGCAGGGAGCATCAGTGCTTATGGGCAAAGGTGGGGAGGAACCAGGCTGGAGTAAGAGACAGATTTCTTGACACAAACGTGGGCCAAGCTTCGGGAGTCAGGTGGATTCTGAGAAAGCACGAAAGAAAATGGCCCAGGCCACCCAGAGACAGCAAGTGGGTTAATGCCAAGAGAGCCAGGTGACAGCCTTTTGGTGGGGAGACACTATCTCAAGGGAGACATGGTCTAGAGAGTTGGACATCAGGGGTTTGGGCAGTAAGCTAGGCCGCACTCTCAGGCTTGGAACCCCAGTTTGGATAAACTAGTGTCAGGAGCTATCCTTGAAAAAAAAGAGTTGGAGCAAGAGAGAATCTTTCCTCTTCTCGATAAACTATGAAGAAAAGCCCAAGACATTACACCTCTCTCTCTCCCTCCCACTCTTCACCAGAAAGACGTCCAACAGATAGCCAGAAAGGAAATTCACACATCCACAGCCAGAGTCAGGAGGCGGGTCCCAGCTGCACACACCCACATACACTCCAGCGTCAGCTATGTCCTTTTATTATTATTTTTATTGAACCCTGTAGGTGGGGTGATGGTAAGGTAGTTCTCACAGCCCCACTGCAGTGCCTGGCCCAGGGCAAGGCTGCGGTTCAGCAACTGCCACAGTCGCTGGGATAGACGTCCCAGTGCAGGCCGATGGCATTGATGAGGGCACCAGATCGGCCGCTGATGAAGCGTAGCACGGTGTTGGGGTACAAGGGGACAGCATTGAAACTCGTGCCTGTGTCTTTCCCAAAAGGCAGGTACCGGCCCTTGTCAGTCACGAAGACGAGCTTCCTCAGGTAGTACTTGTACTTGCCAGACACCTGGATCACTGACTCCCCGGGGTGCAGGAAAATCTCCTCCAGGTCTCCCTGGGTGCCACCCACATAGTCGCTCCACACCTTGCCATAGCGCACCTGGAGGCTGGGTGGGGGGTGGTGAGGGAGGGAAGACTGAGCAGGGTGACTGGAATTCAGGACCTCTTGGCCTACAAGCCAAGAGACCTGCAAACTGGTGGCAGAGATGACAGGTCCCCTGCCAGTCCCAAGGTGTGTGAGGGATGAGGGAGCCCTTGAGGTCCCACTGTGAACTTCAACTCCTTTTGCCGACAGATAGGCTCAGAGAGGAAAAGTAACTTGGCCGGAGCCTCCCAGACAGTGGTAGAGCCTCACTTTGAAATCTAGGTTCCCACTGTCCCCCCAACCTTTACGTGAAAGAAGCAGATGGGCCTTTCTGGATGGCTTTCATGAGGGAAGAGACTCTGTTGTCCCTGGATCAGAAGGATACATGTTTTGGGGAGAGGCGTCAGCCAAGATGGAGGATGCCTGAGGGGACCTACACCTCAGGTGGGGCCAAAGTAGCCAGCTTCCCAGCGCCTCCGCGGCTGTGGTACAGATTTGCCCAAGACGTGCACGCTGGGGGCTGTAGGGCTGTAGCAGCACCGGCCTCAGATCCCAGTCTCCTGATACCTTTCACATCCCAAGTAATCCCTGGGACTTGTTGACTGAAACAGATATGACCCAAAGTGACTGAGAACTTTCCACTGTGGTAAGATCGGAGAGGATCCCCAAACCACAGACACACAAAGAATCTTACCCTACGATGTAGTATCTGTTGACCCGGATACGGATGGCAGTGATGGGACCCTCCAGCTGGTAACCAGAATGGGAGAATCGCTCGCCTCCACCACCTCCATACTCTCCATTGTAGGAGGAGGACCTAGCCTGAACTGGAGGGGATAGTAGGCGTCAGAAGGAGAGATCTCAAGAGCTCCAGTCCCTCCTCACCACTCCTACACCTCCCACAACTCGATGCCCACCACCCCAAGCCAGCCCCTGTGAGCCTTGGCCACTGGCAGAGTAGGAAGGTGTCTTTCCATGACACTAATACTGGTCTCCTGGCCTCTCACTTACTGGCATTGGCCGAGGCTGATGCGCAGACAAGGGCAAGAAGAGTAATGGTCCACATTCTGGGGCTGGAGGGGAAAGAAAGGAGAATGTCAAGGTTCATTCACTCTGTTTCCTTTGGACTTCATTTACCCAGGCTTCCCTGGTTTAGACCTCCAACTGAGACTTGGCCCTCTTTGTCCCTCAACTCAGACCTAATTGACCCAGTCTTGGGCTCAGAAAGGATTGCCCATAGTCTCTAGTCCTGCTCCTGGCAGGTACGGTGTCCTTAACCCCTCTGTCCTCCCTGGTCTCGAGGTAGTCGACCCCCTTGTTCCATCCTGAGTCAGAAGGTCAGTCCTAAGCCTCTGTCTGGACCAACCCGTGTAAGTCCTGATCCCTCCTGGCACAAAGCAGGAAAAGAGTTTCAAAGAAGTGGAGGCCATCTCCAAACCATAGAGATGGTTGAGTTTACCAAACCAGGATTCTGAGCAAAACCTAACTGCAACCTGCCTGTGATACACGGGCCCGGCTTGGGGTATATCCGGGGCAGAGTTTAAATTCCTAGCTTCAGCCAGGCCTCAAATCAGAAGGAAAGGAGCATTTTAGGGGTGCGTCTTTGTGTCACCCGGGCAGTGAGGGTGATTATAGATGAGACTGCCAATACCAGCATCGGAACAGTTGAGAAACTGCACGAGTTTGGACCACAGCTCAAGATATCAGATTCCAGATGCCTGGTCTATTTGTCATAATTCTTTCTCCACTAACACAAATCTGGCTGTATTGATACCCCGAGCATCCCAGGTATCTCCAGTCTTTCATCTGAGACCCAGATATCTTTGCACCTCCCTCAGATGCCCCAGGTACCTGCCACACAGGTCTCCCCTGC